GCCTGCACTCTGGCCAATGGTGGCGCGGGGCGGAGCTCAGGCGGGGGCGACGGTCACCTGATCTGCGGCGGCAGTGGTGGCCGAGGCAGTGGAGGCTGAAGCTATGATGGCGGCGACGGTGGCTGCTCGGGTGCAGGCGGGGACCAGGAGGGCCCCGGCGTTCTGGCAAATGCGGTGGCTGCCACTGTTGCTGGTGGCGGCGGCTGCGGCGGCGGCGGCGGAGCAGCAGGTGCCGCTGGTGCTGTGGTCGAGTGACCGGTGAGCTGGGCGGTGGGCTGGTGCGGGCTGCACTGCGCGCCGTGGCGGCTCGGGTGCCCTCACGCGACTCCTGGGCTGTCCTCGGCGAGAAGCTGCGAGGTCCAGAGGGGACTGTACCCTGCTCTGCGGCCTGTAGCGAGCCGGCTGGGTCAGAGCTCCAGGACCCACGCATCAAGCTGGGAGCCCGTGGGCTTCTGATCTCAAGCCATGCGCCCCCTCTTGACAGAACCTGTTCTGTCCACTAACAGGGACTTGTGGGCTCCTGCGGCTGACACCCATGAGGGCCACATCACCAGCGACATGCAGCTTTCTACTTATTTAGACCCCGCCCTGGAGCTGGGCCCCCGCAACGTGCTGTTGTTCCTGCAGGACAAGGTGCGCCTGTCCCAGCCTTCCTCCCCCCTCTGGGTCATCAGGAGGCAGGCAGGCCCCTCCCCCCAGGGTAATGAGACCCATTCTCCTAGGGAAGCTTAAGTGACCTTGTCCCAACTGCAGGGAGGTGTGGCTCCTTTCTTGGGAAGGGCTGTAGGAGAAGGTTCAGCGGGAATAGTGAGGGCCCCAAAATGGCACCAACTTGATTGGGGAAGCAAGTGGTTGGAGGCCAGATATCTACAGAGTACCATGAACTTATCTGAGCTACTCCACATGGTGGGGATTATTGTTTGCAGATGAGAAGACAGATGCCCATGGAGGGGAAGTGACTGGCTCAAGGTCACACAGCTAATGGGTAGCAGAGTTTTGATTCTAATTGTAATGATCATAATAGAGATTTAAAAAAAGGGATCACTTACTAAGTGCTTCATATGCACTGTGCTAAACTGATGTCATTATCTTGGCTTTACTATCAAGGAAGCTAAGGCTTGTAGAGGTGCAATGATTGGCCAGGTTTGTGCACACCACAACTGGTTCTGGCCTGAGTCTGTCAGACC